AGTCGAGCTGCAGTCGGGCTCCCATCCGGTCGAGGCGGGGAGGCTCTCCTTACGGGTCTTTGCCGCCAGCGTATTAGCTTACACTCCCGAGCTCATAATCTTTGCGTCCTCGCATATTTTTGCTAATGTTGTTGTGATCCTCTGTTATGCGTCTAGCCATCGTGGAGGGCGCCGTAGGCGTGAAGCGCGTGTAACCGGAGGATCTGCGCGGCGCAAAGCGAGTTGCGCTGAAATCGACGTCAAATCGCTGGTTGTTCATGGGGAAAAAAAAAAAAAAAAAAAAGTTGTCGCGCGGCAGTTTGGCGGCAGTCCGGTGTGCCATGCGGGTTAAACCTGGAAATTGGTGTAGGTTTGCTTGTCCACGTTGGTGGTGATAACGTACGGTCCGTGGAAAGGCGGGCCACGTTTCAAGGTACGAAGGCCGTTCGTGCACCATACCCTATCCTTGACGTTGTATGGAGCTGGTCGATGTTTAGCATCGCAGGACGCTTCATGCCGTGAAGGTAGTAAGCGAGGTTCGCGTTTGCAGCGTCGTGGTTCGCGTGGACGTCGCCGACCTGGTCGGGAAGCCGGGAAAATTCCATTGGTCGACGTGGGACAAAGTCGAACGGTACGTCTGCAGTCCGGCGTGCGGCTGCTCGTTCACTTGAAAGCTGGTTATAGGCGCTCCAATGGTCGATGTCGCCGTAGACGTTCTTTCGCAGAAATGAAAGGATTTCTCCTTTGGCGCGTTCGACAAAGCCGTTAACTTCGGGAGCGTAAGGTACTGTTAGGATGCAAAAATACTCCAAAAGCCGGGAGACGTCATAATTAAAATAAGTACACCGACTTGACATAACAGAAAAAACAACTTCATTAGACGTTTCGCCTCCCATGCGGGAGGCATCATCAGTAGTTACACAGCAAATGCAGGGTTCAACCTAAACACAACGCTATTTATCACGAATGTCCGTGTAAGCTTCGTGGAGAGGGCCGCGGTTTTTGTTGCACACGGATGTGTCCCTGCGAAGAAACCACGATTCTAGAAGCTTTCGGGGCCCCCATCTGTCCTCTCTCGCCAAGGTCGTCGCGGCCGGAAAGTCGAAAGAATGCCCCATTGTCCACGCATGGTCCACCAGTTCAGTCTTCAGTCGCGTCGCGTGGGATGCGTACGTGACGTCACGCTTGTGTTCTTTGAGTCTGGTATCTCTCCTCCGTCCAGTTTCACCAATGTAGGACGCTGGGCAGTCACTGCAGGGGATCTTGTAGATAACGCCTCTTTGGACGTTCGCCGGGGTTGGGTCCTTTGGTTTGGAAACGGAATTTCCAATAGTTCTGTATGGCTTGAAAACAGTTCGGATGCCAAGGGGCCTCAAAGCGCGACTAAGAGGTTCGGAGACTCCTTTGACATACGGGATGCACACTACATTCTTATCTTTCCCTTTCGCACGGTTCCACATTTTGTTTCATTTTGTTTTTGACCTCGTCAACAAAACGCCTCGGGTAGTGACGTTTCACCAAAGCTCTCTGTAAATGAGTCATCTCATTTGCGCCATGGAGCTCATTAGATGACACGGTATTTGATCTCTGTACAAACGATCGCACTACTGATTTCTTGTGTTGCACTGGGTGATGGGACAAAAAATCCAAAAAATTATCTGTTTCACATGGTTTGCGGTACACCCCCGTTTCAATCATGTGGTTCGGCTCGCCTGTCCTTATTACAGATACATCTAGGAAGGGCAGTTTGCCCTGCTGTTCTGCCTCGCAAGAAAACTGTATCGCGGGGTGAACACTGTTTAGCTCCCGGTGGAAATCATTAGCATGACTTTTATCTAAAATGACGAAAGTGTCATCCACATATCGGCGGTAAAATTTGACCGGGAACAGAACTTTTTTCAGCACTTTCTCCTCAATATGCTCCATAACGAGATTGGCAACACTGACGGATACCGGGCTCCCCATCGGACACCCGTTCACCTGATGATACGTCTCCCCACGGAAGGCGAAAAAACATTGGTTTAAGCAAAAACGCAAAAGTAAAATTATATCATCAACGTGAAGTGACGTGCGTGCTTTTAGGCTTTGATCATCAAAGCTGTTAGGATGTTCTGAATATGCCTGTCAGTGAAGTACCGCGAAGCCAAACGTGAGGTTAGGACCCTGTCATTTTCGGTGATGACGGCTTGCGGCGTACCGAATGAGAGTAAGAGTTCTAAAAATCGGAAGACGTGCTCGGTCGACTTGTCAGGCACGGGGCGCGCGACAAGCGAGTGGTGAGGTCGAACGCGGTGATAAAGTACCTGTTGTCGTCACTCCTCGTCTTGCTACAGTGTAGTCTTGCGCGGAGGATCTTGCGCCTCGGCTGCGGCCGGCGGCATATTCTCTTACAAAAGAGAATAAACAAGACGCCGGAGTACCTGATTCTTCTAACGGACGCACTCTTCACAGCGAAAGCAACGTACCTCTCAAGAAAAAAAAAAAAAAAAAAAAGCGTGTTCTTTTTGATGGTATTTGTATCTTGTTTTCTAAACTCAAACGACTCCTTCCTCTTTCCCCCTCACACTCGAATTTACACCCCCTCCCCTCCCTCTTCCGCGCCGTCAACACGCCGCCGCCGGAGGTACAAACACCGGCGCGCCGCCGCCGGCGATTTCTGACCGGCGCACAGGTCTACTTTCCGCGTTAAAAAATACTTAAAGGGACCATGAAATGACTTTTTTACTTTTTCCAGATAACTTTTACATTAAACCGTCAATGCTCACTGAATGCCGAACAGGCATCCGTTTTCGTCTCGGTTTATTAACTTCTACACAAAAAATAATGAAATATCGACTTTTTCTTGACCGCAAAACAAGCCGTGACGTACACTGTTAGCAAGTGCCGTGTATTTGGTGAATATTTGGGGTGAAAAACACGCTATTTACACAAATTACCATAAATTTACGCGATGAGTGACGGATAATACGTTCAGATATCATGCGAGGTTGTAAAAAACGTGTTTTGGTTCGGTCATACACGCATAACCGTGTAGCCAACGTTACTTTGCGTGCTTTGCGTGTAGCCGACCTCGATAACACGCATCGCCTCCGGCGACGACCGCGGCATTGCCGGCTATCGAAGCACCGGAATGCTTGGGGACACACTTAGAAAGGACCGTCGAGACAAATGCCGCGGAAAGAAACATGTCTCGGAAACAGATAAGCACCAAAAGCAATTACGCCATGTCGCGGGACGATAACGTTGGCGAAACCCGCGCTTACCGTGGCTCGCCGCCATTTTCTGGTCGATGGCAATGCGGCTTCCCTCATGTCGCCCATGTTTGCATTTAGTTTAGGGCTCTTGATAATAGTTTCTTAAACACCACAAATAGAGTCATGGGTCCAATTATTCGTTCAAAACAGTTAAAATGGATATAAAAAGCGTGTCTTCGATGTGAACACGTGACATTGCAGTTGGTTTCGTTTTTGCTTCAACCTTCAACTGCTTCAACTGCAAGCGATCTGGCCGATCTGGCCATGGTGCAAGCGCAACGTCGATGTACGGTGGAAGCACGAGCCGGTTGGCTTTCGTTCTTTTTGTTTGACCGGAGAAATTTCTGGCAGCCGCTATTGTTTTGGTTTGACGGGACGCGAGAAGCTTCGCATAGAGCTTCGCAGTTTGCGAGCACGTAGTGAAGACGTGACCGGAGAAGTGCCCCTGTGATGTTCCCGGAAGACGGAAAGTACCATTCGTCGTGTGTGCTTTGAAAGCGAGGGGAGTCACAGGGTCCACGAGTGCGCAACCACAAGCCAAGGTTCACGACAGCGCTGCGTTCTTCGGCGATCTCGTTCTGTTTGGGGCAACACGGCGATGCGAGAAAGGGCCGAAACGTTCGTGGTGTGTGGTGCGGTGCTTGTAGGTAGAAACCCGCACTAACGCGGAGCTCATATTGGTTGTTGTAGGGTTGCGTTTGACGGGTTTAGCCCCGTCGTCGTCAGCTGATCCGGTCCAGCTGGTCGGGGAGGACGCAGCGAGCGTTCTTAAAAGTAAATCTTCCTTCGTTCCGTTTCAAAATGTGGAAGATTCCCGACGCATACCGTGAGTAAAATGCTGCGGACGTTTTCAACAAAATTACGTCGTTTTAATTGAACAAGGGACTTCGGATAGTTTCCCTAAATCTGCCGTTTCTATGCTTCGTGTCGTTAGACTGCATTTGCACAGCGACGTGTTCGCACAGCGACGCACACCGCTCGAGTAGATGATTCGGTCGCGCAAACGACCGGTTATACAGAATTTCAGGGAAACTTAAGTCACCACCGATGTTTTCCTGTAAATCTCGTGTGACTCGTGTGAGTTTGTTGCGCTCATCATGCGGTGTGAATAAACTAGGGCAAGATTTTCTACCTGCCCACAGATGCATGAACTGAGACCAATTTTTTACGTAGAGAACATAGTGGTTTTTCTTTACATTGGGAAGAGGCCCGAATTAGTCTCTTTTCCCTCTGGCACTGCCCCAAGTTTCAAGTTGCAGTTTCAGTAGACATACCTACTGACAGGTACAAACTGCTCTAAAGCAGGTAAAAGACTGGGAAGTCAGGACGGTGCGGACACCGTGTTTTGCGCTTCTCGCAAGGTGACATCCCAGCTAAAAATACCCATTGGTTCCAATTGGCTTTTCCAATTGGTACCAATTGCCAAAACCAGTTAGGTTTTGGGACTCCCAATTGGAAGAATACCAATTGGTACCAATTGGAATGAAAACCATTTGGGTTTTGGGACTCCCAATTGGAAAAATACCAATTGGTTCCATTTGGAAGAATACCAATTGGAACGAAAACCATTTGGGTTTTGGGACTCCCAATTGGAAGAATACCAATTGGTTCCAGTTGGAAGAATACCGATTGGTGCCATTTAGAACGAAAACCATTTAGGTTTTGGGACTCCCAATTGGAAGAATACCAATTGGTATTTTTCCAATTGGAACCACTCCCTGTTATGTTCCGAGACTTCTTTTTGGAAAGTATCCATCAACTCCCATCTGTATGATTTCACATTTTATTATGCAAATATGCTCTTGGAAAACAGTTGTTCTCCGGATGGTCTGCAGACACTGTAATCTGAGCTTCATTCTTCTTGCTTGAAATTCTGAAATAAACAGCAGAACAAGGAGTACATTAGCAGGAATGTCAATCAGTATCATGACATGGGTCAAGCATGAAAGCATAGAAATCAATGAAAGCTAGATAATAAGGCTTCAGTTAGTATGGCTTTCTGAATTATGATAGTGATCCAAGGCTTGTCGAAAATTTTAACAGGATAAACGGCTCACAAGTCTAACACGCCTGGCAGCAGAGAGTTGTGTGTTGTCCGTTCAATTCGTTAGCTTTCTGCCATCTTGAGCTTCTACATCAAAATTAGTCCCTTTTTACATACCTAGTGAGAGAAATTTACTATGTCGTTATCAGCTATAGAGGGGATCCAAAGCTTTGCAGTCAGTCAAATGTGGGGGTTTCACATGCCAACCAATGATGGGCGTTTGGCATGCCCCAGGAGGTCTGAGGATTAATTTGGACCACCTTAGTATCTTTTGAAGTGCAACCAAAAGCTTGGTCACAAGGAGCCTTCTCCACAATAAGCATCCATCAAATTGCGGGTACCTCGGCCGGAATTTGAACCCGCCACCTGGGCATCCGTAGGCCGGCGCTTTGCCTTGGAGCCACCGAGGCTGCTTAGGCTTTGCACTGAGACCATTCTTTTCAACAATTTTGACTGCAAAGAACTATTTGTTGTGTGCACACTGGATCTCGGAAAGAATACAATGTTCATTATTTGAATGTGTGAGGCTACACATGCCTTTGATTGCAATGAGAGCAGAGCTAGCTTTATTCTAACAGCTGTCCAAATTCAAAGGAATATTTATGATAGCATGCTAGCTGCATTCTGCACAATGGAAGCATGTAATAATTTACAAATATTGCAAGCAACACGTGGCAATAAAAAGGGTGTTAAGAGCAACCTAAAGAAAAACAGCAAATATATTGAAGGCTCAAATACTGAATGAGGAAATAGTTAGACACTAGAAAACTGCTTGCTACAATGGAAAGCGTTTTACAATGCGATGTGTGCACCGCATGGCGAACTTTTTCCCTAACGCGGACGTGCGGCAACAGTTTCAAACATAAAAGCAGGTAGAACAAGCAAAGTTGGCTCTAAGAACACTTTAGCAAAAAAGGTTGACCGTGAAAATATTCAGAACTTGCTTCAGGTGTCTGAGGACAAAGAGAAAAATCGCGCTCACCACAGCTGCCACGGGACGGAGTTGGTGGTAAACCCCAGCTTGTTGCGGTTCCCCCAGGCTTTTCTTGGGCACATTGATTAAAACAAGAAATGTCAAATGTTGGTAAACTTGAGGAAAATATCACATTTTCACATCCTCCTGCTCACATCCCACACATGTGCTCCCAGAAAAACAAATACCTACTGGTGTCACTAGCGATGGGGCGTTCCGACTTTCAAACCGAAACTGTAAGTAAAACTAAAAAGAAAAGAATTGTTAAAACAAAAAGCCATCAGATTAATAATAAAGTATTATATGTATGTATGTATGTATATATATATATTTAAATAAACGCAAAGAAAGGACAAAAAAAAAAAAAAAAACGAATAGGAGTAATATGAGTTGCATCTCATGTAATGAGGTGGCCGGTGACCCGATTGTTTTGTTGGCGTTCCCCACACCCTTGAAAAAAAATTCCACATTTTATCAGTTTATTTTTTATTCAGAAGAGTAAGCTCATAATCCTTCAGTGCAAAATTATTCTAGAGCTCCAATCTCCAAGAATCCAATTGGAATAACTGTCCCAATTGATTGCTTAATACCAATCGGAAAAGTAATTTCCAATTGGAATGGCCAATTGGTTGTTTAATACCAACTGGAAAAATGCATTCCAATTGAAATGGCCAATTGGTCATTTAATACCAATTGGAATATATATTTCCAATTGGACTGACCAATTGGAAAAATGCATTCCAATTGGAATGGCCAATTGGTTGTTTAATACCAATTGGAATATATATTGCCAATTGAAGGGACCAATTGGGAAAATGCATTCCAATTGGAATGGCCAAATTGTTGATTAATACCAACTGAAATATATATTTCCAATTGGAGTGACCAATTGGAAAAATGTGTTCCAATTGGAATGGCCAATTGGTTGATTAATACCAACTGGTATATATATTTCCAAATGGTGTGACCAATTGGGAAAATGCATTCCAATTGGAATGGCCAATTGGTTGTCTTCATACCAATTGGTTCCCACTGATACCAATTGGTACCATTTGAAATTCCAATTGGACTCAATGGGTATTTTTAACTGGGATGCTTTTGTGAGGTATGCGGAATATGCAAACGATTTTGTTATGCCCTTCGTTTGCGTCTCCAGAAAAAAGAATAAGATTATTTACAAATTTAGGCGCAATCACAAGCCAAGATTTACGATAACAGTGCGTTCGCTTCGGTGGTCCGTGTAGTGGTATTATACGCTGCTTTCTGCAACACCGCGTCATGACGAAGAGCTGGAACGGTCACGGTCTGTGTTGGGCTAGCGGTTGACAGAAACCCGCATCGCCCGCATCGGCACCCAGTGCACTTGGGCTGTTGATGCTCGAGCCTTTCATACGCGGCTTGTCGCCAGCTGATCCTGCTGCTCGACGGTGAGGAAGCGGCGAGTGTGACCTCTGAAGTAAATGTAAATCCTCGTCATCCAGTTATCCAGTGTCAAAGTGTGGAAGATGTCCAACGTGTACTGAGGGCGGGAACTACGAGCGTTTTGCCTTGCTTTTATAACCGAAACCGGAGCAGCGAGATAATTGCCTTGCGTACTCCAAAATGACGCAAGCAATAAGTTTCAACAGGTCGATTACGTCACCGCGGATGTAGGCGAGACTGTGCACTGTTTAAACGCTTGCAGTATCCACGAGTGCTACCAGAAAAACGACGTCAACAGAGAAGGAGCTCGCGATTTTAGCATAATGCAGTGCCACGGGCTCGTGAATTTTAAATGTGGCTATATAAAAATATTAAAAAAAAAAAAAAACACGCATCAGCGCCACATTAATGATCACGAATAACACCGGTCACAAACTCCCAAGCCTCACCGCTTCGCTCGACACCAACACGACATACGACAACAATCTGCATCAAAACGCCCCAAAAGTGAAGGGAGTGAAGGCGTGTGCTCCCGTACGCGTACTACAACTAGCGGAAGTGAAGTGCTGGGCGGATGTCCTTCACAATAATATATATGAAAAATGCCTTGCGCGAGTATAATTTCCATTGATTATTGAATACGTACTGATAAAATCCCAATCATTTGTTTTTCTATCTGATTCAAGCGAGTCGGACTGCTCATAACACTGGTCGAGCATGAAAATAACAAAAATTTGAACTTTTTCATGGCTGGTTTAAGATTTATTGTTAGTACATCGTTGTTTTTCGCAAAGGACTAATTTTACAGATTTTGCCTCCATACTTTTTAAATGCAAACAGTTCTTACATACGGCTGTCCATTGTGCCGTGTTTTGTGTCTTCTTCTATAAATCGGTAACGATCAGCGACCAAGGAGCTCACCCGTACATGTCGCGGGGAGAGTCCGTTGTTAGTAGGAAGTGTCGGGCGTAGTGTCGGTGTTGTGTTTGTGTACGTGTCGCTGCTGTGTCCTACGTGGTGCTCGTGTTGTCTGTGATGTATGAGAGTAGCAGTCTCCTCGTGATAGTTCTCAGCGTATTAACCGACTCCTGCTTTTTTTTCATTGGTTGCTAGAAATCGCACTAGGTGGCGCAAGTTACCGCCCGATTACAAGAGTTTGCTTGAGCTATTTATCCATGTAAGTTCAATATTCGTTTTTTTTTTTTTTGTTTTTGTCGAGCGGTTTTGTCGTAGCTGCCGACGCCACCGACCGCCGACGATGCACGTAGGTACCTTTGCACGTAGCTACGTCCGCCGCTCGGAGACTGTTTACTGTGCATAAAAGACATCGAACGAGAACGAACGCGTCCTGTATGCTTTCAGTTCGGCTGAAAGGCGCGGCTGGCTGGGCTCGTCCCTCGCCTGTTCTCGGCTGCTGGCCGCCATGTTTCATAAGGAACACGTTGAACCGTGCTTCTCGGAAGGCAAACACGGTGTAGCGTGTTAACTTTACACAGCACCTCATGTGTAGACGAAAAACACAGATGACTCCGTGTAAAACGAACACGTTTCGACGTGTCCGCTATGGGACAACGGTTTACACGTCTGGGCGTGTTATTTTTGTTAACAGTGTACGCTGTTTCCGGAACCGGAAGTTCTCTCGGCAGTAGGAGATGGGAGCGTTAGCGGCGACGAGTTGGGGTGCGCCGGTAGGTTTTACTGCGCCGATGTCACCGACGTATTTTCTGAATCGGCGCCTCTCATCGCCGCATCGCAGCTGAGCGAAATTCAATGAGATACGTTGCGCTACAGCGACAGCATGGGACTAGTCCCATACGCCGGTATGCCTGTTGGGATGTGCAGAGAGTCTTCCGGTGAAGACTACAGAAATCAACCCAACTGTCATTGTTGGTAAAAGGCGGCCAGTGTCAGTCGTTTGCAAAGCGACGTAGATGGAAACAAATTGCCGCGGCGTTTTTCGCGGTCTCGGAGATGCAGGAGCGAGCCGACGTTAAAAAAAGTGAAAGCCGTTTACAACTCCCTGTAACACCGAATGGACTACTTCCAAAACCGACGCGCCCCATCGTGGCGAAATACCAAGCAGTGCACTCTGGGAACTAGTTGGCCACTCAGTTTCGGTTTCGACTGTGCAGCTTCACCTCATGCTATCACTCCGCGACCGAACGCGCTGCTTGCGTTTTCGATTATCTAACTTTTCACGAACGTACAATAGACTCATTCCCGAGCGATACAAAACGAAGACCGGGGCACTTTCCTTGGTTCCCGAAACACCGGATATGGTGCGTGCGTATGCGAACGTAGTAAGACGTGGCTTAGTCACCTCACCCTACGGGTGCATGTTTGAGCTCAATTTCAATAATCCCGTCTAGTACCACTGAACTAGAACTAAAATTCGTTCATCTGGAGCCTTATACATATTTTGTTTGCCAAACGTCCGTTTCTTGTTACTTCATTGGGCGAAAAGAAAGCCGCATCCTCACAGGGTATCAAAGTTGAGCCCAGCGTTTACGCAGGAAACGCAGTAAATTCGACTTCACTACTTCACAAAAGTTACTATGATCTCTTCCTCGTGTCATCATATATCTCCCACTCGAATTTTATGCTGGTAGAAGATTAATTTCTCGCAATTAATTTGTCGCAAACGCTGAGATCGGCTAGCTACGACGGAGGCCCTAACAAGCGTCCCCTACTCCTCGCTAAGCCTTTTTGGACGAGCTTTTACTGACGCCCAAGATCTGCGCCTGAACGGTGTGTCTGAAATTATCTCGGCATACTCAGGCAGGAAAAAAACAAACACAAAACAAATATTATGGCCATTAGCAACCGTCAAACGCGCTTTGAATTCGTTCGAGCACTTGTGTGAAGAATGCCGCACCGTGCGCCGGACGGGCATGAACCCCTATGTGGTGCGCATGGGGGTTCCTGCCCGTCCGGCGCACTTCCGGGGAACGGTGCGACATTCTTCACACAAGTGCTCGACTTTTGCTTTTTCAAAACGGTCTGTATGTGCGAATTTGCCTATATGATTACAGGATAACTTTATGTGCATACGCGATGTTGAATATGAATGGAATGCAAGCGGGTAGGGACTTCACTTCGTGCAGTGCTGCGGGTCAGTACAGATAAGAGATAAGAAGTGTGTCAAAATTTAGCTTTTCAATGGCGCCTCCGAGTTTTACCTCGCATATTCAGGCATATTAAGAAATACAGTAATTGCAAAAAGTAATATTTCGTCTATGGACGCACGAAACAAACAAACTTCCTGATCAGCAACACTAATGTAAAGGCGCGAGCTCAATGTATGCATACTTATTGGTCGCTACAGCTTGTTGATTCGTATACAAGCAAGAAACCCGAGCTTCGCAGCGTCGAGATTCCCAGCACTGGCTCGTCCACATGCCTCGATTCGAACGCTAACAGGAAGACTCAAGTACAAAAATACAACAATTTAAGCATGTGTTAAGACAAGCTATACGTCTCAGGCTTGTGCTAAAGCTTCGAGGCCTGGCCATTTAGGTTAGTTTAGAGGCCACAAATGACGGTCTCGGGACCAGAAAACCATCTCTTGTCGACGTGTCGATCGAAACCGAAACCATGCCACCCTCCTCCCTGGCCAACTAGTTCCCAGAGTGCAACGCGCGCCGTGTTGCATGCAGGGCTTTATGGAAGTAGTCTATTAGAGCGCAGCTCTTGAGGAGGAGGAGGGAAGGGTACTGGGGGGTGAAGTGACCTGGGGGGGTCACGTGACGATGCCGATGATGTCATCAGTGACGTCACTGATGACGTCATCAGTGACGATGCGGACTCCGATGACGTCATCAGCGATGATGACGATGCGGATGTCG